AACTTTTAAACGTCCTTATATTTTTGATGAAAATTTAAAAAAAACTCTTCCAAAGTACAAAAAAATTTTATTTCTTGTTAAGGAATTGTATTATTTCAGCTGGTGAAAAGAATGAATGCAAATTTAATTATAAAACTATAAAATCATAAAAATATATCTTGAATGTCACATTATTGTAGCAAAAGACATATAAGAACAAATGAAAATTACCATTTAAATTAACTTTTCCCAGAAGTTGAAATTTGCTGTTAATATATTTTAGATATTTAATATTATTTTAGAAAAAAATTAAGTTTTTTTGACAAATATTAATACTTTTAGTATTGATTAAAAAAAACTAGCAAGCGTGATGTGAATAAACCCACAACATTTAAGAATGAAATATTGTAGAAAGCATACAACAAAAGGTCAAAAAAGATGATTCAGAAATTGTTGGAAACATAAGCATCTTGTACACATTTATCTATTGTATATGTAGGCGTACATATCGCACGTGTATGCATGGATACAAACATATGTATTCAAAAAGAGTATAATTAATAATAATAATAATTATTATTTTTTGAAACTAAACATCTAATATTTTATTAATTAACAAATTTAATTACTAGCTGTAGAGAATAAAAAATAATAAATTATGAGAGAAGCTATACATTTTTAAGCTTCTAAAAACTTTTAAAGAAGAAAAAAACGACAAAAATTTGTTATTTCTCAACTACTTTACAACAAAAAAAAAAAAGAAAAAGATGTGAATGAAAAAAAGAAAAGATAGAATATAAGGAAAAGAAAAAATAAAAAATAAAAATTCAACGTTGTGACAATATTTGAAGAAGAAGGGATAAAAGCAAAGAATGAAAATAATGTCACATTCGTTCATTGCACTTTCCAATCGAACTTTACAAAACCGATTGCGTTTGCATAATGTATAATGCAAAATTATGCATACAATCGTATACAGTATACGTGTACAAATATGAGTACAATAATACCGATTTACATTGTGCATTAATAATAATATCAGTGTAGAACTATTAATACATTAGTACTAATATACGTCTACATACATTTGTATATCAATACTAATATATGTTTCACGTTTACAAACAAATGTACATTATTATTAATATATGCAAACGTACGTACAATAATAGTAATAATAGTTTGACATACAAACGTGCATTAATAATCTAATAATACATGTGCAAATACATACGCATCACAATATTTACAATAGTCGATTATGTGCATGTGTTACGGAATAACGTGAAACACGCACATATACATAAGTATAAAAGTATGCATTTATTATGCTTAAAAAAAAAAGCTTTCTTTTTTCAACGTTTTCAAAAATTTTTAAATAGAAATTTAAAAATTTTTAAGACTAAAATAACAGATGTGCCGTGTAAAAAAAAAAATGATTAGCAAGCAAATAATTTTATCATTTCATAATATTACTTCCCTTATCATTTTATCTTACCATATCATTTTTATCTTCATTTCTTTATTCTTATATTCATTTGACATTTTCTTCCTCAATCATTAAAATGATGAGCCCTAAAATAAAAAATTTATATGCATTGAAAAGGTGTTGACAATCTTTCCCTATGTCATGTCATTTCATATCTCATGTTATTTTATGTCATATTGATAATTTTATGAAAATTTTGTTTTGCTTCCCTCTCCAAAAAAAAAAAAAAAAAAAAGCCAGAAGCTTAAAATATGCATAATAAATAAACACGTGCATTTATGATGTTAGCATAATCTTCCTTCGAAAATTTAGTTTTTGACAAATAAAATATTTATAAAATAAATAAATAATATATGCAATAACAGAATCAGAAATGATAATTTTTGAAAATATTTTCAAAAAAAAGAACAAAACGAAAAAAGAAAAAGAAATAAGATTTAAGTTTAAATACAAATTATACCATTACCTTTTATTAATTCAATCAAACATTGACAATTTTAAAATTTGCAATAAATTTTAGAAATGCTTAAAATTTATTCTATGCAAGCTGAAATGTCTAAACTTTGGCTTAATTTAAAGATGAAAAGTAAAATTTGAATGTTATTATATTAATGTAATTATTGTTATTATCATTTTTTTCAGAACCCTTTTTGTAAAGAAACGAAAAAAAAAACATTTTCCGCTTTTTGGTTTGTTTCCTTTTTTTCCTTTATTCCATAATTACATTCCAAACAAAGAATTTTCGAAGTCTTTCAAAAACGGAAAAATAAATAATGTCGGTTGTAAATGATACTATTATCTCTCCTACATAACACTGCTTACTTCCTATCATTCTGGCTTTCTTTTTAGATAGAAAAAAATAATTTAATAACTAGTACTAGTAGCAGTAGAAATATCGATTGGATCGATTGAAAAAATAATTATTAGTAGGATATAAAATAGCAGTCATATCATTTTTCAGTTGATGTGATTCATACCATCTAACAAATATTTGGTTCAAATAATTCAATTCAAATCACTTTATTTTTTTTTGAAAACAACTGGAAATTTTTTTTCTATTTTCATTTTTTTTTCTTTACTTTTAAAAATCTTTAATTTTTCCTAACTTGTAAGAAAATTCACAAATTTTAATCGAATTAAATAATTATAATTGTAAAAAATAGTGGGAAAACAGAAATGAAAAAGAAGAATTTTTATTCTTTTTCTTTTGGCAAAAATATATTTGGAAAAATAATGAAAGAAAGATGATTTAGTTTTCTTTTTTTTTGTAACTTTACTTTTCTTATCATACCGTTTCTTTCCGAAAATGTTAAATTTCAAAAATTCCAATATAAAAATGTTTTTTTTCTTTGCTTTTTTTTGTTGCTATTTCTATGAAGCAAATAAGTCGTCACAATCTCATTTTTTTCATTTTTCCACTCTTTTTTGTTTATTTTTCATTAAATGTTATTGTTATTCAAATTTATGAATTTAGTTTGCCTGATGATTTTGATTATTGTATAAATTATTATTATCATACCTTTTGCAGCTTTTACTATTTTATTTTCTTAGCAAATTCTATTGTTTAAATATAAAATTTTTTGTCATTCTATTAAAAATTCAGTTTAGAAATAAACAAAAGGAGTAAATAGAACTTTTTGGTGCAAAATTCCAAAAAAAAAAACATGAAAACAGTTGGAAACTTTAATGGCATTATTAATACCACTAACTAATAATAATTAATAACAATAATAGTAATAAATAATGATGATAACAGTGATTATAAATGACAATATTGATAGTGGGGATGATAACAACAATAGTATGAACAATAACGAAATATTAATGACTTAATAACAATAACAATAAAAAAGTAATAACAATAGTAATAATAATAATAATAATAATATTAATGATAACACAACAATATTAATATTAAATAATAACAGCAATAACAATAATGCTATTGATAATAATGGTAATAAATAAACAATATCTAATACTAACTTTTTAATATAAGATAATTAAAAACTCAAGGAAACCAAGAATTTTTCAAAATTTTGATCGAGAATATTGAAAAAATGTTGAAAAATCTGATAAAGGAACATTTGAATAGTTATTTCGGAATAAAAATTATTATTACAATTTTAATTTTTATTGATTAATATGCTATTTGCTTTTTTGTTTCTTTTTCTTTTTTTTTGATTTAAAAAAAAAATGCATACAACTTCAAAATTAAAGTACATGTTACGTGTGATTAACCAAAAATAAATCTTAATCTACCAAATGAACCTCTAATTAATATTAATTTGGCATAAATGTTAGATTGAAAATTTATATACCTCAAATGAATAAAATAAAGAACCTGGAAAAAAAATGGATTTAATAATTTGATAAAGTAATTATTTATAAGAGGAATGGATTGGCAAAGAAAGAGTGAAAAAAAAGCAAAAATTATTAGTTGTTAGAGGTGGAAACAAGCAGTGATAAGTGATAGAAGAAAACAATAAAAAAAATTATAAATTGTTCGCCTTTAAAAAAAAAAAAAAAAAAAAGAAAATCGATGCACAAATGTGTATGCATCAGAGATAGTGGATAAGTTTGAAAAATATGCATGCCTTATAGCTTTTTGATAAAAACAACTGTTACGTGATCAAATTTGGAAAATGCGCTATAGTTTTTGAGAAAATAGCTGTTACTGATTAGATCACTCTTTATAGTTTTTTAATAAAACAAATCAAATTTAGAAAATACGCTTATAGTTTCTGAGAAAACAGTTGTTTATGTGAACAGGTCACGCATTATAGTTTTCAGTAAAACAACTCAAATTTAGAAAATACGCTTATAGTTTCTGAGAAAACAGTTGTTTATGTGAACAGGTCACGCATTATAGTTTTCAGTAAAACAACTCAAATTTAGAAAATACGCTTATAGTTTCTGAGAAAACAGTTGTTTATGTGAACAGGTCACGCATTATAGTTTTCAGTAAAACAACTCAAATTTAGAAAATACGCTTATAGTTTCTGAGAAAACAGTTGTTTACGTGAACAGGTCACGCATTATAGTTTTCAGTAAAACAACTCAAATTTAGGAAATACGCCACATAATTCCCAATATATGTTACCTGATCAAATTTAGAAAATAAGCTTTATACTTTTTGATCACAGAACTGTTATGTGATTAAGTTACGCCTTTTAGTTTTTGATAATTTTTTTTTTCTTAATTCTATAGATGAAAAAAAAAAAAAAAAAAAACTGGTGGATTTGAGTTTGCATTTAACTTATCAAAGTTTAACTTTTTTTGCATGTTTGATAAATTAACACTAGGACATTTAATCTTATGGAATAAAATTTCTTTCTTTCTCTCTTTTTTTTCCATCTTTTCCTGCCTACCTAACCTTTTCCTCGCTACAAATTTTTTCCTTCCCTCTTACTTCATTCTTACCTGAAAACCATTCTCATATCTAACTATACTTAGTAAGAATATATCGGTAATAATTAATTAATCTTTAATTTTGATAAAGTTTCAAATAAAACGAAAAAAAAAAACTTACATTTTGTTCTGGTGATCGTCGCCGTCGTTGAGATGGATGGTGAATACGAAAAACACGAAAACTAAGTGCCAAGGAGCGAAACTTCATTTTTTCTTTTTTCTTTTTTTTTTTTTTTTTTTTTGTTAAAATAACGTTTGAAAGTTTTAAGCAGTAGTAGTTAAACCTTTTAGGTTAAATGTGTCAAAAAAAAAAACATTAAATTTTATAATTAATTAAAAACACATATATCTATATAAACAGATACGATGTATTAATTCAATTATTTTCATTTATTTTCTTTCAAACAATATTTTAATTAAAAAATTTTTTTATTTTGAATTTATTCACTTTCAAAATTTGAATTTAATTCAAACATTAAATCTTTTCACAAATATTCCTTCTTGTTCTTTTTTTTATTTCTCCTGTATTTATTTTTTTTTTCTGCTTTTTTTTCTTAATTTTTTTTTTTTTTTTTTTTTTTTTATTCAATCGTTTAATATTGATAATTTAGCTACTACCATTTTCTTATTTTGCGTTTTTTTTTTTTCGTTCTTTCCTGCAAAATTACATTTTGATGAATGTATTAAAATTCTAAACTAAATTTAATTATTCGATAATTTAACAAAAATAAGTGCTAATGACACGATTTGAATTTACGGTAGTGATTTATCGCATAAAGCATAACAAATATAAACCAACAAAAGCAATTTGATTATTTCGTCATAAAATAACTTCCCAATTTTGGAAGAAATGAGACAGAATATTTCAAAAAAATTTTTAAATATTATTTGTTTACGAGGAAATAAAGGAAGCATCAAAACAATAATTTCTCTCTAGCGGTCGTTTCATACCTTTTGCGATAAATATTAATAATAATAGTAATAAAGGCTGAAATCTTTTAGGAAATAATTAAATAACAAAAGCACTTCAAATTTGGATAAAAAAAGATTAATTTTGAAATGTTATTTAAATGAAAATTTTTCATTTGAAAAAGGAAGAAAACACAAAGGGAAGTGGAAAGAGAGGAAGAAAAAAAACTTTTAGTAAGAAAAGACTTCATTAAAATGATATTTGCTATAATTTAAAAAAATAAAAGAAAAAAGTTATAAAGGATAGAGAAAAAAGCAAAAAAAGCGAGGGAAAAATTATAATTTCAACAAATGATGTAGCAAAATGTTGAATGTTGGACTGCTGAAATAAAAGTAAAAAATGTTGATTATTTTAAAATTTTCTATAAAATATAGTTTAGAATATCGTCATATCATAATCTGTAAGCGAACATTCGAGAAGTTATATTTTTAAGGTTTGAAAATATCTCATTAAATGATATTATTATTACAATTATTGTCATAATAATCATGATAATGATGATAACAATAATAAATATTATTGTTACTATAAGCATCATTATTCTCGTTTCTAGAGGACTAATTTTAAATAATGTTAAGTAAGAAAAAAGTACGCGAAAAGGAAGGGTACGAATAGACTAATAAATAAATTAAAAATCGATCAATTATAAATGTAAATTAATGTTAGACGATTATTTGCTATTATGTTTTACCATATAAATCATAAAAAACATTTGAACAATTAATTTATTATTATTATTATTATTATTTAACTCATGGTATTATATTGTAAAAATCCTTAATCAATATATTAACAAAAAAAAAATTTACAAAATGAAAAATTTTTGTAAATTAAAAAATAAAGGTTCGCAATTAAACTGTTGATAAATAATAGGAAGGATATACCAGTTCAAAATAATTAAAAGCATGAAATAAAGTAAAAGAGAAATATACATACTTTCAAAAATTTTTTTTAAAATCCCCTGTTTCTCTTTTCTCCTCCCTCTCTCTCTCTCTCTCTCATTTTTCATCTCCCCCTTTTTGTTTAACTGTTTTCTTCTTCTTTCCTTCACTTGTTTTTTACTGCCTTTTTTTCTTTGAAAAAGAATCTTTACATTATCATCATGAAAGAGTAAGCAAATGAAAATGACGGAAGTGGAAAGTACATGCAAAAGCAATATGTAAATTACAAGGAAGCTAATTTATAGATATATGGAAAAAAAAAATTTTTTTTTTTTAAATAAGTGCGAAAAAGAATGAAGAAAAAATGAAGAAATGAAATGAAAAATAAAGCAATAAGCATAATTTCATTGACTAATGTCAACTCCATATCCTTTATCCATTTGAAAAGTATTACATAGATCTTCGTTTTTTTAAAGCCTTATCGTTATTTACACATGTGAACATTAACTTAATCTTTATCATTAACAACCATTGTTTACACATGTAAACATTAACTTATTCTTTGTCGAAACAACCTTAATTGCACATGTAAAGATTAATCCTTTATTGTTAACAAATTTACATATAAAAATTGAATTGTCATCAACAATTTTGTCCATTTTTTTCTTTATTATCTCATTAGTGCATACAGTAAAAGGAATTTTAATAGTTACTGCTGTTATTACCACTACCATTATCACCACAACTACTAATAGCAAATCAACAACAACAGCAATAATAAAAATTACTATTGCTATTATCACTGCTGCTACAGCTACCGCTACTACAATAACAGTTACTGCTGCTACCAATTTTTTATTGTTAGCAATCTTACATGTAAAACTTACATTATACTACTAACAATCATTACAACAACAACTACTAACACTACTATTACTGCCATTTTTATTACAGTGTTAGTATAATGACCAGTAACAGTACAACTATAACAATAACTACTATTACAAGCAGAACTGCAACACTACTACTACTGCCACATACTACAATAACAACTAATAGCTGATACATTAACTACAACTAGTAGTACTACTGGCCATTATTACTATTAATACTACTACCACTACTATTGCTGCAACTACTACTACTATTGTTACGCATGGCAGTACAACTATTACTACAACAACAATTGTACTACCAGTACTTGTATTACTGCTGCAATAATCACTACTATTAATAATATAACAATAGCAGCAAAAACAACAACTACAACAACAACTACTACTTTTAGAAAAACTATTATTACAAAAACAATAACAACAATTACTACTATCACAACGAAAGCTCCTACTATTACTATTGACATAATGCTACCGAAACCTTTAAACTGGTTTCGGTAGCATTATGTCCAACTATTGCATCACATAATCCAATATGCTATCAAGCAAAAAATTATTCTTAGTCATCGCTAGCTTACTTTTCTCAAGATTAGCAGCAACAACACCAAGTGAATTTTCCCGCGACTCTTCATTTTACCCTCCTAATGCTCCTCCCTTTTCTCTCTTTCCTCCTCATTCCACAAATGCATATCAAAGCAAAAAAAAAAGATGAATAACAGGGATTTTTCCTGAGAGTTCATGAATTTTTGCTATGTAATAAAAATGAATACAATATTGTTATCATTATTAAATCATAAATAAAAATGTGAAAAAATTAAAAGCAAAGAAATAAAAATAAAAAAAAGAAAAAGATAATACATAAATTATTCAATAACATTATTATGTGTGATTTCAAATCGATAAAATTCTTTTTTCTTTTTTTTCCTCTTTTTATTCTCTCCTACTAATTGCTACGAATTGGATCGAATTTATGGTTTTAAATTGAGAATTAAGAGGGAAAATTTGGTTTAAAAAAAAAAAAATGTGATAAAAAGGATAATTTAGTCGATATAATTAAAAAGTATAAATAACACTATATTTGAAAATATCATTTGACTTATTATTAACGCTGGAATATATCAAATAGTTTTAAGATAAATATTAAAATGGAAAAGAAAAAAGAAGGTGAAAGATAGAGTTGAAGTGATGGAGGCAAAATTTTGATAGGAAAAGAAAAGGACAATATTCATTAAAATTTGAGCTGCAAAATTAAATTTTTAATATCTCAAAGCAAAAAAGAACATATTATTTTTTAAATGAATAATTTCTACTAAAATTTTGTTGAATTATTTTTGAAATTTTCTCATAATTTAAAAATTGGGAGGAAAGAAACTTTTTTTTTTGTACGCCTCTTAAGTAAATGCATTTTGGTTATAGCAAAAGTATTTAAGTCAATAATGCTTATTTTAGTAAAATGAAAAGTGCAATATATCCAGAAGATTATTCACAGTGAATGTTATTTATTATATTTTTTTAAAACCGATTCGAAATTATTTAAGTTTTAGCCAAAAAGATTGAAGAAAAAAACAAGCAAACACAAAAGAAGCAATAGGTATTGTTGGAAAGAAAGAAAAAAAGTTACAAAAATTAGATAAGAGAAAAAAGTCAAATTTATAATTTTGATTATTTTTTTAATACTGAAAAAAAAAAATTTTTTTTAAACTTTTTGGTATTGCAGTAACGAAGGACACAGAATAAAAGTTGTGGTAATAAATGGTTCGTGACAAGAAATGATGGCAAAAGATAAACCGAAAAATTCTTAGAGCAGAAAAAAAAAATATGGAAAAAAATTTCATAGCCAAAGTTGAATGATATATTTGAAAATGTGAATGAAGTAAGTTTGATAAATTTCTAATAGCTAAAATGAAAATCCATCTCATTAATTCATTAATGTTTAATAAATTAATGTAGTATTTAATAAACCAGTGAAAAGAAAATTACTCAATTTTTTTTTCAAAAATAAAAAAAAAAAATTGAGAAAAAGGAAAAAACGAGAAGGTGAGAAAAAAAGAAAGCAAGATGAAAGAGGGAAAAAGTGAGATTATAATCTTTAATAGATTTATTATGATAAAAATTGCATTTTTTTCTATGCATCAACTTTTTTTTTGAAAAAGGTTTTAAAATTTTGGATAAGTTTCATTAAAGAAAAAAATGCTTATTTTCATTTCATTTCAATGATTATTATAGCTATGAACAACTTATTTTTTTATTTTTTTTTAAAGATAAAAATGCATTTGGCATATCTTTTTTTGCTAAAAAAAATGAAAAATTTTTGAAGTTTGAAGTTCTTATTTCAAACTAATACACATATATAGCACATATGAAAAACATAATTTATTTCTTTACAAGTTTTTATTTTTTAGTTTTCTTTTTCTGTTTTATTGTTCTAATAAATTCTGTCTAGTTTTTTTTTTTTTTAATT